ATAAACTAAAACATAGGAAACCCAAATGTTTATTCTATAATTTTGTGGTTTTGGAAGTATATATACCTAAAATAGGCAACATCCTTTGAATGCATGTCACACATGCCCCTGGAACATACCGATTCTGTATTTATGGATTCCAGATTTCAAATGCATCTGTAATAGGTTCTAGCTCATCATCACTTTCAACTCTTGCACTAGCAGCAACAAAATGTGATAAGTTTGAGAACTTTGATAGCTCACAAGATTTTTTAAGAGAGGAGCCACCCTCTTTGCTCCATAATTGCAAAACATTTTCACTTTTATATTTATAAACATCAATTGTATAATCAATATAATATTTTTTATTTCTACATTACCTGTTTCCTCTCAATCAACCTTTGTATACACACCTGCCTTTATCACCTGTGCACTTACAAACGATACCTCATACATTTTGGTAACAAACATCATAAAAAATGAAAGAATGCTGCCCACCTTCTTTCAGCAAAATGGAATGGCCCAGGAACTTGTGGCAAAATATTGTATGATGAAATTCTTTCTGTCGAATGAGTATAGATGATGTATTAGTCTGTTCTCAAGCTAATAAAGACATACCAGAGACTGGGTAATTTATTTTAAAAAAGAGGTTTAATGGACTCACAGTTCCTCATGGCTGGGGAAGCCTCACAATCATGGTGGAAGGTGAAGGAGGAGAAAAGGCACATCTTAAGTGGAGGCAGACAAGGGAGAGTGTACAGAGGAACTGCCCTTTATCAAACCCTCAGATCTCATGAGATTTATTCACTATCACAAGAACAGCAAGGGAAAAAACTGCCCCCATGATTCAATTACCTCCTACCAGGTCCTTCCCATGACATGTGGGGATTATGGGAGCCACAATTCAAGATAAGATTTGGGTGGGGACACAGTCAAACCATAAATAAATTACTCTTCAAATCTTGATATAGAGAAAATCATTCTAGAATATCATCATCTGGACATTCATAGTCCAAGATCTGCTTAAGCAATCAACTTCACCATTCTCTTTAGAGTCTAAAGTGCTATTTCTCCTTTGCATCATTTTCTGATTTTTCTATTAATTGTCAAACATATTCCTCAGTTTTCTTCTCTGCCATTATGGGCAGAAAATCTAAAACTAAATTTTCAATATTATTCAATTATAATTTAAAAAAAAAAAAGACAGAGGCTCAAAGCTGGTATCACCATACTTTCCTTATAACTTCTTGAAAAGTGATATAATACTTTGGGCAATGCATTGAGAAAACTGATGATGGAATAATGATTATTTATTTCATTGTATCATCCTACCAGGTGATTCCATAATTCTTTCATTTTCTTATTTTAGCCTTTTTTAGCATAGTTAGGAGTAACTGATTAGTGAAGATGAAATAGCTTTTAGGATAATGAAATAGCAAAATGTTTCAAGATACAGAAAAAGTAAAACCATTAAGATCTCATAAATGTGTCTTATATTTATGAAAGGATCCAGTGAATCTTTATGACAATTATAAGATACAATAAACTTTATCTTATTTTTTTAAAAATAAGTAAATTTTCTCTTTGTTCTTTGGAAGACTAATAAGAATATAAGTCACAAAATATCAGTCCTTACAAATAGTTAGAACTGCTTTAAAAAGACAGTCAAAAATTAAATTGGGTCCAGTGGCCCCTGATGATATATCAAGTGTTAGTGAAGCCTTGGGTTGGACAAATGGCTAGGCCCTGTCCAAACTCCTTAGTCAGACACTGGCTGGTGGCCACCCCAAGAGGAGGATGCCCTTGGCTACCACTGTCTTGCTGAGTCATTAGCCAGTGTATTGGTCCACTCTCGCCCTGCTAATAAAGACATACCTGAGATTGGGTAATTTATAAAGGAAAGAGATTTAATTGACTCACAGTTCAGCATGGCTGGGAGACCTCAGGAAACTTACAATCTTGGTGGAATGGGAAGCAAACATGTCCTTCTTCACATGGCGGCAGCAAGAAGTGCTGAGCAAAAGTGGGGAAAAGCCTCATATAAAATCATCAGATCTCATGAGAACTCATTCACCATCACAAGAACAGCACGAGGGTAACAGCCCCCATGATTAAATCACCTCCCACTAAGTCCCTCCCGTGACACGTGGGGATTATGGGAACTACAATTCAAGATGACATTTGGGTGGGGACACAGCCAAACCATATCAGCCAGGGTCAGTCGCAAGAATAGGGATCAGGGAACCCCACAGGAATGAATAACCCTCGCAGCTGGCAGTGAGTCCTCTCTTGAAAGGAGATCTGAGCATCTGTATGGCTGTCATCTCTGTGTCTGTCACAGCTTCTACTTAATTAATCATTCATTCACTCACTCAAAAAAATGTATGTTGAGCACCTACTACATGCAAGTCACTGTTCTTGGTACTGGGGATTCTTGGGTAAACAAAACAGAACCCCAAAAAGTGCTTAGAGCTTACATTCTAGTGTAGGCTGGGGAAGACAATGGACAAGATAAATAAATGAAAGATATAGTGGGTTACTGATAAATGTCAAAGAGAAAAAGTATGAAAGGGGAATGTTAAATATCAGGGAGATGTGAACTAGCAGAAGACTGAGGGCAGAATTTTAGATACATTCTCTTGGAAAGCCCTTACTATTCCAAAGTGGACTTGAGTAAAGACCCGAAGGAAATGAGGGAGCTAAACCCTGCAGGTATCTGAGGGAAGAGCTTTCCAGGCAAAGCAAACACAAAGACCTCGAGACCTGGAGTGCTTGAGGAACTAGTGTTGAATGAGCGAGGAGGGCAAGAGAGGTAGGAGCTGATATCGGAGACACTGGAGGCCAGACAACACATGTCGTATAGCGAGAACTTGGGCTTTCATTGTGCGCGAGATGGGAAGCCTCTAGTAAGTTTTACAGAGTTGCATGGCTTTCAGGCGGGCTCACTCTGCTGTGTTGAAAGGAGCTTGGGGGCAAGGTCAAGAGCAGACAGGTAAGTTAGAAGGCTACTATAGCCAGGCGCAGTGGCTCATGCCTATAATCCCAGCACTTTGGGAGGCCAAGGCGGGCAGATCACCCAAGGCCAAGAGTTCAAGATCAGCCTGGTCAATGTGGTGAAACCTCATCTCTACCAAAAATACAAAAATTAGCCGGGGATGGTGGCACATGCCTGTAATCCCAGCTACTCGGGAGGCTGAGGCAGGAGAATCGCTTGAACCCAGGAGGCAGAGATT